TGACTAAGGGTCTGGTGAGTAAATTATAAAGGATTTCTAAGGGCTCTCTGGATCTCTGTCGCGGCTGAGCTGGATAAGGTTTAGATAGGATTTCCTTTTAAAATCTATATCTGTGACGGCTGAGCTGGAAAGGGTTTTGAAAGGATTTCCTTTTAAAATCAATATCTGTGACGGCTGAGCTGAGTAAGGTTTAAAAAAGATGTCCTTTCAAAATCTTTCGAATCCATGAAAAGATGATGAATCATTGCTACATTTTTAGGGCCCCAAAATCAAAACACATTATAGGGGACCTCAAGTCATTGCCCAGATCCTGAATAACCCGGCCCCGAAAACACATTATAGGGGACCTCTACACTAAACAGGGTCCAACATTCGTGTATTCCCTTATGAACCCTAAACCCTGAACCCAAAACCCAGAACCCTACATGAAAGTTTCGGACCTCAGAATCTCTGCGTTTCGGGTGTTGGGAATTATAGGGTTTTTAGGGATGTATAAGGATTTCCCAAAATTAGGTGTACGTATTTCAGAAAAAAAACTATAATAAGGATCGTCGTATTTGGGGGTCTAGTCGAGTCTTTCTATTCTAGAAAACTATTATATAAAGGGCCTATACGGGGCGATATTCGGGCGTGCAGAAGGGCTTACGGGCTTAAAGTTCCGGGGATGGCGTTTGAGGATAACAGGCAGCTATGAGGGAGTTACAGTGTTTTTCGGAAATCGAGGTTTGGAAGATTTGGTTCACGTGTCGTGGAGAGGATCCGTGCTACGCCCCAACTACCCCAAAAATTACTGGCTTCCGCATCTAAACCCTAAATTCTAACAACCCCTCAAGATGCACTGCCTAATCTGTACATCAGCCCTGCAAAATTGACGTATCCACCTTGAAAACCCTGAACATACACCCCCGACAACCTACCCAACCTCCCGAACCGAACCACCCAATACAAAAAACCTCAAGCCTAAACCCACAAAGCATCCTAAGTAGCCGCTCATGGAGAAGAACGGGCAGTCTGCCTCTCCAGCCACTGCCTTCGCTAGCAGCGTCTTACCTGTACCTGGTTTCAGGGCTTAGAATTCAAGCTGCAGTTTAGGTTACTTTGAGGGACCCTAGAGTTACTAATGGGCTAGGTAACCAACTTATAATGGGTGACAATAAGCTTATAATGGGCTTGTTAGGGGGTTTCTAGATATAATATTAGCAACTCCAAGGGCCCCTCAAAGTAGCATTCAAGTTGCAGTTTAGTTTAGGGTCCTAGGGTTTAGGGTTTTGGCGGGTCTGGTCTAGGGTTGAGGGTTGAGAGTTTACGCCGCGGGGTTTGCCGCAACATTGGCAACTATGCTAGGACCCTTCATCTTGTGAACTTTCGGGGTTCTAGGTTTGGGGGTCTAGGTCTTGCAAGGCTTCTAATCTTCTAATTGGAGATTGTAGCGGCCGTCGGGTTGAAGAGTACCGACTCTAGTGCTGACGGCTTAGGAAGCTTTAAGTCTAGGGTTCAGGGTTATGGTGAAAGGTTTAGGATTCAGATCACACATGTTACTCCTGCACAAAACTATCAATGCTGCTGTTCTTTCCGGCGCCAGTGATACAGTTACCCGTATCTTCTCCTCTTGGGGCTTTCCCATCACTATTATGTTGCCCTGGCGCTTTGAAGGTTTAATCGGCTGTGATGCTTAAGAGCTGTAAGGCTTGCACGACGGGATTCGTAGTTCGTTGCATTGCTCTTCTTTGCTGTTGAAACCGGCCAAACTGCTTAAAGCAATTTAGGAGCAACGAAACATCTTTTCCCAACATTCAGCCTTAGGTCGTCAACATGCATGCAAGAGCCGTATGCGCATTGGTAAAAAAATCTTTTCTACTCCAAAGCACTTGAAACCCCTGAGCTGCCAAACTTACCCTTGCTACTACGCCAAGATATTTGAAATACCCAGGCACCAGGTGGGCCGACCAAAAGCCCACCCTTGGGGACGCGTGCACCCAGCCTTAAGCGTTTAGGGTTTAGGGTTCTCAGGGTTTCGTTCAGGAAGCTTTTAAACGGGAGGGTCCCAGAACCCAATGAATAGGTCCCTTTATAAGTATGTGCATATATATATATATATGTGGCATGCCGGGTTTAATTAGGGTCCATGAACTCCAGGTACTCGATGATTGAGTAGTTGGATTTTTGGTAAAAATAATCCGTATAGTGCAGGTTTAGGGGCAAGCATATGATAATTAGGTACTTGGACCCGTAGGGTAACTATGGTTGCCGCTTCTACGGCCTCGCTTGAGGATTCCGCCTATTGGGGTAACTCGGGCACTATGCAAGGATTCTGCAGGGAGTGTTATGGCTTTGTATAAGGATCCAATCCTAGACCATTTCTTAGCTAGTTTCCACTGGGCTTAGAGCCTGACTTCCAAGCCTCTTAACTAGCCTGACAAAGGCTTGCCCAAAAATAAATTGCGTTGTAACCCCAGGTATACAGACCTACCAAGTTGTTCAGGAAGCTACTGCAGTCATTTGCGGCTGCTTGGAGTTTCAAGAATAGTTCTGAGGACTCCAGAAAAGCAAAACCACATGCCTGCCCCATGCCCGCAAATATCCCCGAAGCCGCAACATTAAGTCAGCACATGCGTATATGACGCCCGAAAGCCCTACCTACACCCAAAAAGTAATAGCACCAAACCCCAAAAACAACCATAAAGGCCATGAGTTTACATACTTTTGGGGTCCAGGAAAAACGTGAAGCCCTAGCCTAAATAAAAATCAACGCCAAGCAGCTGCTCGTACTTTGCGGGCGAACGGAGGAAGTCCTTCAGTGTTACGGTGTAGTTGGGGATTACCTGTAACACCAATTACCTACAGCTTAATGGGTGTTTACCAGGGTAATTTAGAAAAATGTCAATTTCCAATTTCAGGCCATTTTGGTACTACTCAACATGAAAACCACCATTTAGGGTGAGGTCGGGTGAGGTCGCCCTAAATTGCCCAGAATTACCCTTAACTTGTAGGCGTAAGCTTTAAAACTGCAGGTAATTGGGGCTTCACGTAAAGCCACTGAGAACGCAAGACAACTATGCTTGCGGCGGTTGGCCAATATCCGCAAGGTCCCTGCATCAGCCGTAGTTTTAGGTTCAACGTTTAGGGGTTAATGTGTAGGGCAGTCAAGCATTTCAGAACTTGATTGAGACCATGAACACCAAATTAAAAGGGCTCCACTAGTCATAAGTCTAGAGCCAACCTCCACCATTTAACACTGAACCCGGTAACCCTTAAACCCGTAAACCCCTGAACCCAAAGCCACCTGAAACAACAAATGCCCAAACTCTACGACCCCGAGCTCCTAAAAGGGCCCAACGCCTATCCCCGATAAGCCTAAAACCCCAATTCACTCCAGCTACGCCCCGAATCCTACACCCTGAAAGCCCTGAAGTCTAAGCCGCTCTGACCCATTAGACCCTAAACCTGAAACCCCTAGGATTTAGGGCTAAGCGGCTAAACTTGCCGAAGAACTTCCCACCCTTTTAGCCCCTAACCCCTCAACCCTACACGTTTACACACCCTCCCTGAAACCCAAATCCAATTACCACTGGAGATTCAAAGGTCATCCTAATCTAACCGACCGGAAACTGCATGTAAAATCTATACTCAAAACAATCAGCGTGTTAGGTGACTGAAGCTGCCTATGGTTGGGTTATACGTCCAGTTATAACCTTGGAAGTCATGAGATATTTGTACTCTAAACCCTGAACCCTTCATACCCCTATACACCTATACGCCCTGGTAGGGTTAAAGTACAGCTCTTACACCGACAATGCAGGATAAGACTAAATCCTCGACCCAAGACGCCAAAACCTAAACCCTAAGACCTCAGCCCTAAACCCTGACCCTAAACCTATGGAGTTTAGCGTTCAGGGATGAAGTCCCAAAATCATCCAAGGTGCCACGAACTCGACAACCTCCGCCTTAGCTTGGTCCAGGCCGGCCACGTCGGCGAACTTTACCTGGCCCAGCTGGAAAAATCGAACAAAGGCATTTGGGGATTTTGAGGTTTGGGGGTTGAGGATTCAGGGTGCTTGGAGTCTAGCATGCGGGGCTTGGAATAAGGAGGTTTCGAGTTTTCCATTTTCATGATTGCGGGTCTGGGAAATACGCAGAGAACACAGCGCATTACACATCAAACAGCAAACGGCGCTGTGACCATCTCGAACACTCCGCAACTATGAACCACAAGTTTCTGGGTTGCTGTTAAGGAACTTAAATTAAGTTACTATATTGGGGAAACCCTATTATTTACTATATATACCCACTATAGTAACTTAATTTAAGTTCCTTAAGAGCAACCCAGGTTTTGTCAAAGCCCCGTCTCACTGGTCATGTTTTCTCAGGCAACATAGGCAACTGTTGTAAATGTCAAAATGGTTTGAGCACGGATTCCAACTCATTTTGCATTTCTTCACCAGATTCTTCATTATCTACCTCTAAACCCTGTATAACCCTGTAGAGCGCGGAAAATCCGGCCTTGGACTTCAGGTCCTTGGACCCAGCAGGGAACGCCTTGCCTATACTGAAGATGTTTCTGCCGCCGGGCCCTCCCACTCCGGGTGCCCCTGGGCCCATGCCATTGGCCATGAATCCTGAGAATTAAGGGTTTAGGGTCAACGATTTAGGGTTTCAAGGGTCTCATAGGAAGATCGGCTGTACGGTTTGGCAGGTAGGGCTGGGAGTTTGGGGATTAGAGTCTGGGAGTTGGAACTTGCGGAAGGTGTGGGACCCCGATAACCGCAATAGTGGCGGTTGCACCTGGTTGACAGCCAGATTTCCTGATGCGCGCAGTATCTATTTGAATGCTGTACCTGCTGGCCAAGGAGGCATGAATTGCCTGGGCTCAGCTTGCTCACAAAGGTTCCTGCTCACTGCATAGGTCAAATGCAGATCAAGTTACTAGCACAAGGCTAAACTTCCCCTGGTTCTTAGCAGGGAATAATGGAATACAACTTAATCCCTGCATAATACCTATGTAGTTAGTTCCCCTATTCCCTACTCAGAACCAGGAAGTATAGCCTTGTAGAGGAGCCAACCTTGCAATGTGCCCAACAGGTTCCCCTACATAATTCCCCTTCAAAGATTAGGGTTTAGGGCTTTAGGGTTTAGGGTTTAAGGTTTAGGGCTTTAGACTATAACTCTTGTGGCATTGCTATATTGAGTTTCTGGCCTTTCTGGGATTGTAAGATGCACGACCCAGCTCATGCGTACAGCTTTCTGAACCTCGGGCTGTGCGCAAGTGATAAACCCGCAAGCATGGTTCCAAACCTCGTTGGTGTATTGCGAGACGTTTGAGCTACCAAAACCCCTACAGTATGTAGAATAATGTCCCTAGACCCATACTAACAGCCACGAAGGCCATTCTGTTACATACTGTTGGGGTCCAGGTAGTACTTAGAAGATGTCGTACTCTGAAGATCCACGCACCTGTAAGTAGCATATACTTAATCAAAGCCCGCACTGAAAGTAAAATGACCATTGCCCAAATTCCACTATGGGATACCCAGACCCCTAGCCGTAAACCCTAATGTTACCTAGTCATGAATCTAGGTTTGTTCCTACATAGCCCGAAACCCTCAGACCTATGCCTGACACCCTCACCACTCACAGTCCCTCTCCCCCGTAGATTGAATAGGGACATCCCCAACACATGTTACATTCCTTAGGAGGGCCCCCCACCCTGTAATAGTGGTATAGTAGGAATATAATGGGACCCTAATAGAACCCGCATTATCCCTTGTAGTCACTATTGCAGGGCGGGGGGTCCTCCTAGTACATTCCCCATATACTACACAGTCTATCTGCTTAAGGGGACTGTAACCCTGTCTGGTTTAGAGCTCGAGGTTTGCCCTAGACCTCCCCGAAATCCACCACCCATAAACCCTTAACCAGGACTTTTCGGCCGGGGCGTCTAGCCGCGAAAAGGAGTGGGATCAAAAACAGCAGAGTTGGGATGTGAGGCAGGAGCTCGGACATGAGATCCTGCTCCTGAGATTTGGTCTTTGGGAATCCAGATTCCTGCATGTGGATTTTTGATTGATAGCAATGGGAATAGTAGTAATAGTAGTGCCAGAAACAGACATGGTGATAGAATCTTTTGGCTTGGAGCGTTGGGCTTGGTTCAAAGGTGAGTTGGCGAATTTCTTAGCACAACAATGGCAAAACGTGTCTGCAAGCCGTCGCAACTGGCCTGCCGGGGCAACTACGAGAACAGTCAATGTTGAAAAGCATGGGTCGCAGTAGCACAGGGCCAGGCACAGTCGGGAGCCCTACCAGCGAGACTTTAGCATGATTTGGGATTCAGGCCCTGGACAACTCATGAATTCATATACCACAGAATTTCCCCTGATGCGTCAACCTGTTTAGGTCCAAGTAATCCACAAGTTCAGTAGCGACCTTCTACTTACCGACCAAGTCTCGTCAATGTACTGAACAGGCACATGCTCCATCGGGGAAATCCCCAGGTCATTCTGCGCCTGTTCCAACCTCAGCCCCAGAGCAGGCTACGAAAAAGGAGCGAATGCACCAACAAATCAATCTGCTGCGACAGAATTATTTTCATGGTTCTATGTCAACTAATAGATCATCCTGAGTACTGTTCAGGACATTTGAGCATTGATAAGGAAGAGCGTCTGAGTCTGCCGCTGTTTGTCATTATGCATGTAGCAAGCAGACTTCCAGCTGGCGTATGTCAGGGTGACCCATGCAAGATAATTACTGGGTTGCTGTTCAGGAACTTAAATTAAGTTACCATCGCATAAGGGGGTTCCAAGGGCCCCTCTTCAGAACTATCCAGGGATATGCGGAGACATTGCCTGAGACCCAAACACAACAACAACTGGAGTTGTAAGTTATAATGTGCCCCATCTACACCAATTTATGACTGCTAGTGGGTGGGCAGGAAAAACCGTTAACCTCAAACGCTGATGTTGAAGCCAATCTGTGACGGCCAGTAGGTAGGCAGGAAAGACTCTGAACCTTAAACCCTGATGTAGAAGCCTGGCTAGTTACCAAGGTTATCCTCCCCCAGAGGGTCCAAGTACCCAACCATTAGGTACTTGGGGTTTGAGCAATAGTAAATATAGTCCAGGTCTTGGGCCAGTATAGAATTAGTATGCAATTAAATAGGCTCCTGATTAAGTTCCATATGAGCTTCCTTTGTTCTATCTATAACATGCTGCTTAGACCCTAAAGTTTCAAGCCAAGAATTACCACCATAGCCCCTTCCAAGCAATCTAGGCCCCTGCTGTAACTCTACACCCAAAGCGGGGTTGCCCCAACTCTCCTGATAAAAGCACACCTTCCAATTCATGCCGATTTTTCTTTACAAATCCTAAACCCAACGCCGGCGACTGAGAACTCTTCAATACCTTGCTGGTGGTTGGTTAGTAGGGATATAATCCCTATATACAATACCCCAAGGGTCCAAGTACCTAATAATCATATACTTACCCAAAACCTGCACTAAAATCATGAGTACCCAAAACCCAAAGTACCTAATTATTGGGCACATGGACCCTTAGGGAATATAATCCCTATAGACGACAGCTATATTCCCTAAACCCTGAACCCCATATTCCCTTATTCCCCTAGTAACCCCTTTGAGAGAAGCAGCTTTGCTTCGAAGGTCTCAGGGCTGCCAAGCTGTATGGTCATGGTCCTGTCGCCGGTCACTTTTTGAGAGGGAGCAAGGGCTCAGAGGTTGAGGGGGTGGGATGAGGCCTGTTTGAGATTTTGGATTTAGCCCTAGACCCCCAAAACCAAACCCTAAATCCTGAACCCCATATCCTACACCCAAAGCTCAAAGCGTATGCCGCCCACATAAGATGGTGGGCAGCGCCTAAGCACCTCGCCTGCGATGGTGACAGGTCAACCTGCTTCAGCACGTCAACATAAATGTGTTGTTGACCAAAATGGACTTAACTCAGTTTAGGTCCTAGACCCTGACAGGAGTAGACAGTGTGGGGTGGGTGAATTTGTTAGATGGCCTTTCCCCGTCAGGCCATTGCAGCACCTCGCAAACTGCGATGCGCTCGACGTCACCCTGTATCTCGTCTGTTGCATGTTCCACGTAACATCAAGGCAAAGCCTTAAACCTTAAACCCTAAACCCTAGCCCAGATCCTAAACCATGCTGAGCAGTATAAACTACCAGTGCTCAACCCAAAATTGCAACAGAACACAACCTCAAACTGCCAAAATCAGATCCTAAGCTGAGCAGCCACGCCCAGACCCCAATCCCAAAAAGTCCCTGGCGTTATTTGAAATTTGTCCTGGGCCCATTTCGTCTCTGCTCACCCTCCTCATCAGGGTGGAAACTGAAGGTTTTGTGCTCATGTGACTTAAAGGTTAGTGGGTAAATATCATCTACTTCCAACAGCGCATGCAGCCCAATCACAGTATCATGTGGGGGGGCCGGGGCTTGCAGGTAGAGTTGACTAGGCTAGAGGTACATATCTGGGTTGGTCGGAACAATCCATGGGCCTCCAAGTAGAGGGTATCAACAGCATGGTACACTTAGGCCAACGGCGGGAATCAAGCAGAAACAAATACAACACCCATCATAAACATGGGTTGCTCGATTTCAACAGGTGAAGAACATGAAAGCCGCATTGCATGGACTAGTGCCAAGACCGCGCAACTCCGCCGCTGAACACCATGCTAGCTGTGCACCCCGAGCTAAGCCCTAAATCCCAAACCCTAATATTTCAGGAGGAGGGAGTTTAGAGCGCAAGGTATGTTTTTGCTGGCGTTTGAAGTAGACTGCGAGCCTGAAGTTGTCAATAAAAAGAGCGGTCTCACATGGCGCATGGCTTGCTGCGATTGCGGCCGAACGTGTATAGACTTCAGTGCCTCTGTCTAGAATCGCTTGGGGACTTAAGCCTAAGATTTCAGGCGCTCTCTTGTGATTTGATGGTAGGGAATTTTGGGCTTAGACAAATTTAAAAGACTTGACCCGCAGTGAATCTTCACCGGTTGGGGATATAATCCAAGGGTTGGGGATATATTGGAATAATGGAAAAGAAAATGGAAACTACTATAGGGGTAGGGTTTAGGGTTACAGGGTTTAGGGATTT